ACAAAGTTCGCAAATCACCTTATTACAAAGAATTGATTGCTAAATAAAAAGAAAAGTATACAGTCTTAAGATACGCACATAATTAAAACTATGTGGGCGAAGTGGAGATGTGCAACTGAAATTTTGTGTGATCATTGCATACCAATGAAACTGAAGGGTAAATTCTATAGGATAGCTATGAGACCAATTTTACTCTATGGGACGGAATGTTGAGCGGACAAAAAATAATCACCCATAGAATGAGTGTAGCGGAGATGACGATATTGAAATGGATGAGTGGCAAGACAAGAAGGAATAGAATTCGAAATGAATCCATTTGGGAGATTTTAGGTGTGACATCAATAGGCGATAAGAAGAGAGAGAGAGCAAACTTAGGTGAGTTGGTGAGGATCTTTAGATCGTCATGGGAGACCCATGTGCTCAATCTGGGAATGAAATGATGTCTCTATCATGGCTTTTCAAAATAAAGCTTATTGGGTCAGGGTTTCCATAATCCACTGGTATTTTTGGTTCCTGTAGGTCTAAGTTACCGCTGGCTTCTCCATTATTCGCATCGGGGATACAAACTTGTTAAAAATACCCTACAACAATATCGTGTTATCCATATCATGTTTCATGGTTCAGTTAATACTTTGCCCTTGATGATTGTCCTACCAACCTCAAATTATTATGTTTTTTTGGGTAAGATATATTGTTTGTTAACTATGTTCTCTCTCTTTCTCCCCCTCCCTCCCCTTCTCTCCCTCTCACATAGACAAAACCAGTTCCCCTCTCTCCATCTCACACGAAACAAGTATGAAGAAAGTGATTATTGAATTGTGATGGTAATTTCATTTTACAAATTTCATTTTAGATACTATTAAGAAAAATTTGCACTTCTTGGGCGAAAATGAACAGTGTTTTCGCCCATAGACTGGACGCCATTCGATATTTTCAAATGGTGTAGATTTACTGCAATGGACATAGTAGGTGCGATGCGATCGTTTTTTCCTACAAAATTCACGGCAAACCACAATGGCTCTCATGAGCCATTACAAGCAAAATCACTAAGCATTTCACCTGGTTCGCCATTCTGCTCTAGTAAAAGCCATATCCTCAATGAGACCATAAGTCGCCATATCTTTTCAAAGTACTTCGAACCACATCTTTTTGGACCTATCTCTTACTTTTTTAATCCTTCTACTTAAACTAACTTGTACCTCTTAAGTGGTGTTGTACTTGATCGATTGGACTTACACACATTCGCTCACTCGTGCCCACATATGGCTAACTCATATAAGTCTACTTTCTCTCCTTTTATCGCCTGTTGATGCAACACCTAAAATCTCTCGAATGGATTCATTTCGAATTCTATCCCTTCTTGTCTTACTACTCATCCTTCTCAACATCGTCATCTCTGCTACACTCATTCTATGGGTGATTATTTTTTATCCGCTCAACATTCCGCCCTATAGAGAAAAATTAACCTCACAACTATCCTATAGAACTTACCCTTCAACTTCATTGGTATGCAATAATTACACAAAATTGATTCTCACTCAAACCAACCTAAATAACCTAATTCAACCAATCCTATTTGGTTTGCCAAAGTTCTAAAGCACGAGAAAGAATGTGACTGCCTAAACAATAAGACATTAGTTACCGTTAACCAATGCCATTCTCACACTTGGTTTTAACATTCCATATATTGAACTAATTTTACAAAGGTGCTGTTTATATAAAGCTTAAGCTCTAAATAATCAAATTAAAGCCTACCTTCAAATAGCATCGAAAAATGTGATTTCATTATTGAAAATCTATATGACATCTTTAAAATGTATTTTCATATTTATTCATAAAATTTAAAACTTCAAAAATTGTACAAATCACTAGATTTATGAAAACTTCAAAATCTTGAAAATTGACGGTCCAAAATTGCATAAATATTTCCAAAACTTGAAATCCATTTTTTTCTCATGCCCATGTATCTTATTATCGAGATGATTAATTTGAAGTGATTTAGGCATTAAAACAAGTTCTTCTAGTGAAATTTTTGAGGTAGGCTCAAAGTTGATTGTTTAGAACCTTGGCTCTATATAAACTTTTTCCATTTTACACTTAATGGATTATACCCATTGGGCAATACAAAAAGTTATACATAAACATTGTCAGTGAGATATTATCCGCATAAAGGGCATACTACTATCCCTCTATCAACTGAATTGTTTCGCTCTTTTCTTCGCATCCAAAATAATCACGATTATCTAGGCAGAGCTTCAACCAAAGAAGCTGAATCACACAAAAACAAACTGAACATATAATTTTTTTTTTTTTAAATACAATTTTGTGCTTCAGCCGAAGAGCCCGAATCGGACCGAACTGGGCTGAAGCGGGATACACTAGAGCTTTGCCTCAAACTAGGCCGAAAATCAAAAGATTTCGGTCTCTTTGGCCAAAACGAAGCCGCCAACATTGGGTAAAGAGTAGGTTATGAAAAAATCACATTACTAACAAAAGTTCTAAAACACTTTCGTGGTAACTAATGCCTGCAATGTAAGGACATGGGTGTCCAGAAAGGAAGACACTCAAGCGAAAACAATGAACCAAATATGATCTACGGCTCAAACTAGCCAACTCAAGCAAGAAAAGATCTCTCTCCACATTGGGTGACTGATTCTTGGTCCTTATACAACCACAAAATTCTTGACGAAATGTTGCAAAAACATGAGCATTCAAATAGAAGGAAAAACGATGTCAATCTCACCGAGTAAATCTTCAAGTTGACGCGATACCAATCTCTCTTACTCCGCAAAGCCTTAAGATGAAGCCCCACTACGAAGAGCATGAGATTTCTTCGTCCTCTTGGGCACCACTTGGGTTTCAGCCTGCAATCATCAATGCAACCCATCAAAACTTCAAAAAAAAAGAAAAAGAAAAAACACATACAAACACACACTCTCCAGATATTGCATACATATCCTATTTCTTAGAATCCATGTCATTAAGCTCGGTAGAAGCTGATTCAAAGGGATGATTACCTCTTTCTTGACAGGTACCTCCTTTTCAGACAATATCAACTCAATATGACAAGGGGAGGACATGTAAGCTGTTCATCAAAAAGAATTCAACCTTGTTCAACACAACAATCCCAGTCCGCACCGGAAGAAACAAGGAATTAAGGATATAAAATCAACGGATAGGAAACTTACGGTTGATTCTTCCATGGGCACGGTAAGTTCGTCGCCTCTGCTTCTGGGCCTGATTCACCTGGATATGCGAAATGAATAGTGTATCCACATCCAAGCCCTTCACCTACAAAATTGAAATGCAAAAAAACCAATGCGATATATAAGCTGAGATATCAAGGCTTGAGTTTGTAACCAAGTAAATCCAATAAAGACTCTAAACAAGCAAGCATGGATGCTGAAATTATTAGGAAAGACAAATAAGGAGCATGGTTAGGGAGAAGAAGGTAGAGAGGCCTGAATATGAGAGAGATGATGTGATGAAAGAGAAGCTTGATTGCTAACACACATGTGTTCGTGTTTGTGTGTGTGTGAGAGAGAGAGAGAGAGGATTGCATACATCAGCATTGCTCTCAGCACTCTTGAGCAAGTTCAAGATGAACTTGGCAGACTTGACAGGCCACCGCCCTTGTCCATTTGGATGGCGGTTCTTTGCTTGAGCAGTGCGCCCAACACCGCCACAAAAGCGCCGGAAAGGGATGGCCTGCTTGTGGGCAAGAACGTCCTCCAGATACCTCTTAGCCTTGGCCAAAGGGAGCTTCCTGATAGCAAATGCGGTTTCCCTGGTGTTCTGGAAAGAAACAAGTCACACCATGACTAAAAACCCTAATACTTGATCCTCATATCACACAAATTACCATAAGCTTCTTCCAATAAATTCAATTTCCAGTTTTTCTTTGAAAAATTGCCACAAATACATGGCATTCATAAGACATCGAGTGTATATATAAAAATACAAAATAAATAGATGTCAAAAAACAACAGAAACTATGGTAAAGATCTCTTTGGGGAAGACAATGAAACAAATTATGGAGCCTACATAAATAATCAGTCAACTTTTGTATACATAAAATACACAACAAATAGATGTCAAAAAACAACAGAAACTATGGTAAAGATCTCTCCGGGGAAGACAATGAAGCAAAATATGGAGCCTACATAATCACAGTCAACTTTATCGTTCAAGATTTTCCAAACATGCACTATTAAGATGATATTACACTATTGAACTTCTAGAATGTACATAAAATACAGCATATTATTTTATTTTCTTGAAGATTTTAAAATATAGCAGAAAACATGGTAAAGATCTTTCCTAGGAGCACAGTGAAAAAAATCTGGAGCATACATAATTACAGCCAACTTTTTAACTTTAGATATAAAGTTATCAATCAAGAATCTCCAAACCTGTTTACAGTAGACAATCTTTATCGAACTAAACTTGATTGATGACCATAGGAATATGGCGCGCAATATCAGATCACAACAATGTTTTGGAGCAGCATACTTCAAGCATATTTTTAACAGTCTTTTTTAGATCAATTTTCAAGCATGCTGCTAATAATATGAAGTGTTGCACTATTTACTGAACCTTTTGGAATCAGCACAAATACAGAGGTTCACCCAATAATAATGCACTGAATTTCCCTTAGGCTTACGAGTGGCCGGGTCTTAAGAGAAACAGATCCCTGCTTTTTCTCAGGTACAACAAAGAGAATGATATTCTAATTACTATCTTCATCTGAGACAGCAGCAGAGCCATAAAATTTATACAACAATCTGACATCTGATTGGAGCAACAGCACACACTTTTTTCTAATGGGTCAAATGAGAAAAACGGCAGACTTCACAAATTACTGAGGACTCATTGCATAAAAAGACCAAGGCCCTTCTTTTTTTTCATTTTCTTTTTCTTTTTTTAGGACACAGAGATAGAGAGATAAGCAATGCCATTATTTTTGCTCCAAATTTGACATTAGAACATAAGGCTATGGGAAGGATGCATTAAAATTTGGTCATCCGGCAAAATTTTGGATCGAGAATGCGTTTTTTGGAAGTCTTTCTCAATCACAACCTTTAGAAAGGGCATTCAGAAGTAACATGAAAGGATTTCAGACGTCTGAGGGCAGAGCAAATGGTGATGATAGAGTAGATCTAGACAATGCTCATCAATCAAAAATTTATTGGGGTGGAGGAGGATCTGATCCAGAAGAGGAACAATACAGGTGGTTCTCCATTCCCTTAGTCACCTATATGAAACTACAATAACATATAATAGTAAATACCACTTCAATCTTGTACATTTTTACAGAGAGAAAGGAGAATGGATTGAAAATCAATTTTCACTTCAAAGAAAGCCTTCCTTAACTAAAATCAGGCATGGCCCCAACTTCAGTTTCAAAGTGATGTCCAGCTTCACAAGGAGTGAAAGAAGAATAAAAGAATTTCAATGAAATATCCTAAGACTAAAAGAGCATTTTAAAATACAGCACAAGAACAACTATCTTACATGGTGTCACACAGAAGCATAGGATTGAATAAGACAATTAAGAGTTGCTAACCTCCAAATGTGCAGCAAGAATGCTCTCTTACAAGCTTGATTGATTAGCTAATCAATGGACCAAAGTTTATCAACAGTAATGGACTAATGTGTAGCTGATTGAAAGGAAACTAAAAAGGAAATTGAGTAGGTGTGAACTTCATTCCACCAACTTTAGATAGGTTAAAAGAAAAAGTTGCAAATAAATCAAAGTTTTTCTAAACTAGCGCAGGTAATCTTCTCCTTTTCCATCAGCTATAATGGACTAGCACTCAACCAGTTTCCATTGTAACAGTAGAGATTCGGAATGTCTTACCATTCAATGAATCTTTTGTTACCAGTGTGCGTACAAAGACTCACCAAATAATAATGCAAGCAATTTCATGCGGCTTACTAGAGACCAGTTCATAAGAAAAACAGGTCCCTGCTTTTAGTTGGGCTCAGGTACAACTTAGAAAATCTAATTCATGGTAGGATCTTCAGTCAAATACAGTAACAGATCATAAACCAATCTAGACCACATTTTAAAAGAAGTCAGATATGAGAAACAGCAACACCAGCATCACTTTTGAACTCAAAATAACAATAATAATTTACTTGATTCATACTAAGTAGTGCGCTTGGCACAGTAAAACAATATGAAGAAACATACTTGCATTTTGATCACATAGATAACTTGTACACTGAGCCACAAATTAATGGAATGGGCAAAATGACTGAGAAAAATTTCAATTCAAACCTCACTTTGAAACATTGGAACCAGTGAATCGAAAGTCCCACATGCTAATGGATTATAGCACCAGCACTACGTATGAATCTCAAAAAATAATGACAAAATGAACCAGGGAAGATCCACGTTGAAATGGATCAAGTATCTAGATACATTAATGAATATCAAAAACTAATCCATGTCTTTGCATATGGATTAAAATACAATAAAATAGTTACATTAAACAGGGCATATCATGCAGGGTAACAGTAGATTATAAACTTCCCATGAGAGAAAACAATATTATATAACTAGCAGAGGAACATGTGGAAAGTTGTGAATATTATTAATCCAATAGGTTTTTATTAAATCTTAATATTGAAACTATAATTTTGGATAAACAATATCTTCGGTAATATTCCATCAAAATATCAACCATTTAGCACTGTGTTATTGATACCCTTCTTCACAGTCCTATCTCACAAAGGTTTATCCCAAGGACCTGATTAAAAGAGTACCAAAAACATTCAAAGCCAAATCAAATATCTTATGAAGAGCTATCAAATGTGTCTAATGATCAAATTTTGGATACAAGTGATGATAATATGTTTAATTATTCAAGTTGACAACAAAGTAGTGATGCAAACTCAGTCACAGCCATAAATCTCAGTAGATAACCATCTCTATGAACTGAGATCGAGTGATTCACATCAGAAAGACAAACTTATATTAGCAATTATAATGTCGCAAATTTTATTGAACCTTTATTCACAAGTATAGTTTACAAAGGTTCACCCAATCATGGTGCAAATAATTTGTTTGAAATTTACAAGAGGCCAGCTCAGAGGAGATAAGTACAAACCTCAGCATTTTTCCCTCAGGTTACGGAACCAAATATTAACTCATAAATGATATGCAAAGATACACAAGAACAACAAAATGATTTTTTGAAACATCGAACTAGATGATGCTTCAAGGAAATAGAAAGAAGAATGGGTGAGCAAGAACGTTGCATTTAGAGTGTGGTGTGCACTTGCTACACAGTCCCAGACTCAAACAAAATTACCACTCTTCACATCCAACCAGAACAACAAACTATTTTCAACTAAAGTACATTTTACTCCTTTTATTTTTTTAGAATGACACACAATTTGAATCTAGTCAAGTATATAACAATCGAAACCCCACAGCAGCCATTTCCAACTTATCAATCCAATAGGTATTTATTAAGTTATAGTAATGAAAATATAATTTGGGATAAAAAAATATCTTCGATAATATTCCATGAAAATATCAATCATTTAGCACTGCGTTATTGATACCCCTGTTCACAGTCCTATTCCGCAAAGGTTTATCCCAAGGACCGATTAAAAGAGTACCAAAAACATTTAAGGCCAAATCAAACATCTTTTGAAAAGCTATCAAATGTGTCTAATGATTAAATTTTGGATACAAGTGTTGATAATATGTTTAATTATTCAAGTTGACAACAAAGTAGTGATGCAAACTCAGTCACAGCCATAAATCTCAGTAGATAACCATATCTATGAACCGCGATCGAGTTATTCACATCAAAGAGACAAACCTATATTAGTAATTATAATTTCGCAACATTTATTGAACCTTTATTCACAAGTATAGTTTACAAAGGTTCACCCAATAATGGTGCAAATAATTTCCCTGAAGTTTACGAGAGGCCAGCTCAGAGGAGAAAAGTACAGACCTCTGCTTTTTTCCCTCAGGTTATGCTAACAGATCTTCAATCACAAATGGCATGCAAAGATACAAGAACAAAACCGTTTTTTGAAACATCCAACTAGATAATGCTAAAAGGAAATAGAAAGAACAATGGGTGAGCAAAAATGTAACACTTAGAGTGCGGTGTACACTTGCTACATAGTCCCAGACTCAAACAAAATTAGCACTCTTCATATCCAACCAGAACAACGAATCATTTTCAACTATAGTCCTTTTTTACTTTTTTGTTTATTTAAAATGGTACACAATTTCAATCTAGTCAAGTATACAACAATTGGAACCACACAGCAGCCATTTTCAACTTTAATATATTCAATAATTCAGCCATAACAAATGCAACCTAAGTGATACAAAGAAATAATATACAACTTAACAACATAAGTAAAGAAAACTCATTATGGGCAATCAAGATAAAATACAAAAGAAAATAATATACGAGCAAAAAACTCATCACAGTAGAGAGTTTGCTGCGACAAACACTGTTCGATCACAAACGTAGCTGGACATCTGCAAATGAAAACTACAAGAACAAAAAAAGAGAATATTTAAATACCTTGAAGTGAACCCTCAGGTCAGATCCTCTGGCCTTGCAAGCTGAAACACGAGAGCGATGAACCACATCACAAAATAAATCATCTTCTTAAAACCCTAACTAGAAAATACATCACTAGTTTATGGAAAGACAGAAAATAAGAGCATGAGGGTGCAGATTAACAAATTCACAAACAAATATAATCCCCAAGAAATTACAAAATGAAACTTGTATCATAGAACCCAGTGCAGAAATAAGCTATAGATTTGGAGTGTTACATTTAGTTGGATTGTCCGGCTCCCTGGAATACTTCACCTGTTTACAGAGAAAAGGAGAAATGAATACACATTAGAGAAAGAAAGAAACTTTTATTGTTACTGTGTCTTCTCCAATACAGGTAGAGATAGAGAGACAGTCCATGACTGATCTAGCACAGATGGAGAGAGAGAGATTACCATGACTGCTGATCGAAATGAAGATCTCTGACTGCCCCCAGAAGCCGAGGGTTATGAGCGCCTCAAAGCGGTGAATTTTTGTGAATCCAAAAACCCTAAAATTCTCTCTCTCTGATTGCAACAACAAAAGTAGGAAACCCTAAGGGCCTGTTTGATAACTGGAAGCAAGTTCATGAACTGTAAATTGGAAGTTCCTCACGAAGTTCCTGAAGAACTGTAAATTACAAGCTTAAGAAGTTCTTGGTTTCTATGTTTGATAACCTCCCTGGGAAGTTAAGAAGTTCCTAGTTTTTGTGTTTGATAACCTCCTGGGAAGTTAAGAAGTTCCTGGTTTGGTCCCAACCAATTATATTCGTGAACCCACAAGCATTATTCATTAAAAATAGAAAGGTAAGAAAAAGAACATGGTAGCTACAGCATTCACAATTGGAGCTAAGTAAAACTGTACAAACCCAAAAATAAAAAATAACAAAAAGGTAAGTAAGATTATTCTCAATTCTACTAAAATTCAACATTTTATTCACAAACCCACATCATAGCAGTGTATCATAGAAAAATATATCAGATTTCATGAACCCACATCATAGCTGTATATCAAAGCAATTTCAAAAAGAAAAAAAGCAAAGCAATTTCAATAAATACTTGGAACAAATGAAACCATTGAGTGAAGAACAAATTCAGAAATGAAAACAAGGAAGCTAGTAAGCAATAGCAACCAAACTTCACAGGTTTTCCGAAAATCATGAATTGTGACTAATGAGAATCACCAATTGTAACTAATCAGAATCAAAAGAGAACTATGGGAGAGAATCGACAATTGTGAACAAAGTGCCACAATGAATTTTAGTAATCATTGGAAGCTCAAAGTACAATCCAATAACCAAGTTCTACAACAACGAGAATGCAGAACTGTTTAGCATTTGACCACAATTCAAAGATCAGAATAAGAATACATTGACCACAATTCAACATGCTGAACTGTTTAGCATTTAGCACACAAAAGGATGCAAAAAAAGACAATGATGGAAATGTACATGCTCAACCAGAAATATAACCACCCTGTACTATTGAACCATAAATAAAGCATAACAAAAGAGAGCATAATATTCTTAATAACTCAGCAATAATTTTCTAAAAGGCATTGAAATGGTTAATGGATAAATTGAATTGTCATCCAAACAACATCCGAGCAATTTCTCAAATAAGGATGTGACATGGATTAGTTAAACAGAAATACAGAAAAAACGACAAACAACATTTTTATTAGCCATGAAAGGAAAGTTGGTCACTTCAGAAATCAGTGTTCAATAAGAGCACTGAAACCAAATCCTCATTTATTATGAACCCGAAACCATGTTCTAATTTCCAAATTTGACTATGACCATTCCTAGAAACTAAAGTTTCTTGACAGAAAGCCTACAAAACTAAAACCAATACACTCATTTGATGAGAATAGTCTCTGAAAAATAGCATATGGGTGTCAAATTTCTTCTCTCTCTTCGTGTCATGGCATGCACAATAGTCCTAGTGCTTGGTAACACAGAACTCGAAGAAGTTGGGGATGGTGGTCTCATAGTCTGATAGGATTGGGAGTGAAGGATCAGAGTGGTGGTGTTCAAAGCCTTACCCCATTACCAAAACAATCTGCAGTTGAATTGGAGAATGAGTTTAGGAGAAGAGAATATGGTTTTTTGTGGAGATTTGAACTAAGCAAGTAGGAGAGGAGGTAGAGGAGAGAGAGACATAAAAATATGAATTACCCAAGCCAATCAAAACTTTTTTTTTGACGGATTACCCAAGCTAATCTGAAAATCTGAATCAAGTCGGTCTTTTTTTTTTCTAATCCTCGTTTTTCAAATAAACTATTTTTGGAGTGGCTTCTCTAAATAATATTCGATTTGGAGCTCCAAAAGATTTAAATCTTTTGCATTTGTCCAAAATTGAGTTTCAGGGTTGAGCATTCTCGGAGCTCTAATTCAATTTTTTCAATTTTTTATGGGATTGTTTCCATAATAAAAACAATATAACAAATTTTAAGATTTGCTTGAACTAGGGTGATGCTAACGTAGCAAACTCACAGTGAATCAAGCTAATCAAAATTACAGCAGTCTGGAATGAAGTATAGTGATTCCAACAAGAACCCAAACTATCAAATGACTGTTGATCGATATTCTTATCATGCAGACAACCAACAAGCTCTCTAATATCTTATCATGCAGACAACCAACAATCACTCTAATACGGATAGATTGTCAGGGAACTTGATGTCAAGCACTCAAAACAATCAGTTAACCCTAAATCTAGATTTACAACATAGAAAAATCACGAAATCAAGCTTTTGCATTGCCTTAGAACTCGATTTACAACATAGGAAACTATTAAACCAATTTAACACTACATTCAAACATAGGAAATTATACAAAAATAAGTATATTTAACCCTAGAAATGTTTTTATATGGTTTCCACCAAAAAAAACCCTGAGAACTATGTTGTTAGCAGAGAAATCCGAAATCAGCAAGAAAAAATGCAAACTCAACAGAGAACTCACTGATTGGAGGTACCTGTTGAGGTTGCAAGGCCGCGAATAGTACTGGGCGAGAGGCTCCTTTACTGGGAAGAGAGAGCGAGAGAACTTTCGCAGTGGAGCTGCTGTTTTGCTGAGCAGCTAATTGCGAAGACAGGGTGGGTGGGTGAGCGGCTGAGTAAACCTAGGGCACAACTTTATAGGGGGAAGTTTTGATATAAACCACCCTTTTCTAAGTGAACAATGATAGGTAAGTTTTTTATTTACCTTACCATTTTTTATCAAATACAAAAAAATGAACAAGAACAGGTAAGTTCTAACTTCCAAGAAGCAATTATAACAACACACGCTCTTGGTGTTTGAGTAATAGGTAACTTCTAACTTTCAAAAAGTAATTATAAAAAAACACGCCCTTGGTGTTAGATTGTGACTCTCGTATCACGGTGCATCTAAGCAACCATTGAAAACCCTTTTTACATAGTTGGCGATAATCCTTTAACTGACATCAGTGGTGTACACCATGTTGTTCTCTCTATTTCTCTCTCATATTTTTTGGCTCTCATTTCTTTACTTTCATTATTATCCATCGATCTCTCTCATATTTCTTGTCTCTATTTTTTTGTTCTTATCCTTTTCAATTTAAAATGAAAGTTTTTAGGTGTTGTGATTGTGATAGACAATCAATCAGAAAAAAAAAATTCCTAACTTGATCAATCAAATAAAAGGTCCTGGATATCTTGTTCATACACATATTCTCTTTGTTTCATGAGTCTCTAGTGAGTTATATACAGAGTTAGAAAATATTAAATCTTTGATGATTCCATCATACATAATGGAGTTGTGAAAACTTCTGGATAATTATCCTCCACCTGAATTGAATTCTTTTTGGTTAAAGAATCTCTTTCTAGTTGCTCTGGAACAATTAAGAGACTCTCCGGAGATACTAAACCACCCATCTTTTTCCTGATATATAAAAAAACAACTTCACTATTAAATGATTTGTCTTTGTTCTGATTAATCTTTTTCTTCTGATTAATTTCTCTACCAATTGAGTTTTTCCATTTTGGCTTGACGGGTGAAGTTCATTCCATGAGAGGGAAAAGTATGAATATTCAACCTCCACGCAAACTAATGAGTCATTACCCATTGCATTATACCAAAACTTTATATGCAGTGCTATGGGACATGCTCAAGTCCATCGAAGTCCATGACAAACTCTCATCTCGAGTATAGAGTCAAAGTATGTAGCTTATTGTCTTACAACAAAAGAAGCCATCTAGTAAAAGAAGTCCTTAATTAACTCAAATTTGATGCAGTAAGGTATTTGTATATGAGGATCTTTTACAATAATGAGGCAGTGATTTGCATGACTAAGAAGCTAGGTTTCAAAAGAAATCTAAGCATATAAAGGTTGATTATCATCACATTTACAATAAGATCTAAGCAGAAGAGATTGAGATAACTTATCTCTTAACAGAGGTTGTGTTAGCAAATCCTTGACTAAATAATTGATAACAAATACTAAAGAATTAATGACAAATATATTTGTCAACTATGTACATGGGATGAGCTTGAGAGACAATGAGATGGAGTGGTTGTAGGACCTTCCAAGAGATGTTAAGGTTATGTGGTGTTTAAGACTATGAGAGCATATACACATAACAAATATAGTGAATTGTGCACTTCAATGGGAGTGTACATGGATTGACTAACCCAAGGTCAGCAGTCCATGACCAGGGACATATGTCCAAAACCTTTTTTTCCCCTAGGCCTATGCACTATCATTGAAGGTTTCAAGAAGGTCAACCATTGTTAAGATCAAAGAGATGCTTGACAACGGTTTGTAATCCATCCAAGAGAGCTTTATGGTATTTTATTTACGGTTGTAAGCTTATGAGAGTAAGGCAAATAATTCTCAAAACGTTTTTGCACGGAATATACCCACGACAACCACCTTCTAGGAAACAAACATGTAGAGGGATACATGTATATATTAATAAAGAGAGTCTCAATTGCACTATGTTAACACATGCATGTGACTTGCTCTTAAGGAGAACATGTAATCCACATACTAGAATTGTGGTTCCACTATTTATTAGTCAGCTTTAATAGGTCAATTATGAGTCATTGAACATGAATATGGGTCATGGGTTCTGCTGTTTGGTCTAAAAAGATAGTTGTAGCATACAATTTCTAGCTTGGAGAACCTGACATTTACTTTTATTTACCCTTGGTACCGATTCACTCCTAGATGTATTTCTAAGTGTGTTTTTTTTTGTTTGAACTTAAAAAATATTTTTTTTAGCCTTAATTATGATTATATGATTTTTTAGAATTTTTTTAATTTGTGAAAAAATATTTTATGCTATAAACACCCAAAGAGAGCAAACTTGATATTTTACAATTTGGTAGGGGTATGTTTTAAGTGTGATCCATGTACGGGGGCCAAGGGCCCAACTCCTACAAGTGAGTAGGCAACATAAGGATGGGATGTGGAGCTCTTAAGGGCCACACAACATAGAGGTGGGATGTGGGGCTTGTAAGGACCACACACCTCACACAAGATGAAACACCCTTAATTAAATTTAAAATATCATTTATTCATCATTTATTTTAAAATTCTTAATTGTATTAAGAGTTATATTTTGATTATGAATCGTACTTGGACTATGACTCTTATGTAGATCAGAATTCAAAGAGAAATAAAAGTCGCAATTGTATTAGAAATCATATTTCGATTATAATTCCTACTTGGACTAGGACTCCTGCTTAGATTAAAATTCTAGTTAAAATAGAAGTCGTAATTGTATTAGGAGTCTTATCTTGATTGGGATTTCTACTTGGACCAGGCTCCTACTTAGAAGTCCATCTTATCCTAATTTAACTAGAAGTAGTTATAGATAAAAAATTTAGGGAATGAGGTTCCTAAGATACCTCATTGAATTGTGATAGCTGGTTTTTTAGATGGATGACTCATATTTGTTTTCTCTCTCACGTCACAAATTATCAATAATTTCTATTGAGTAAAATTAAATTCTAATTAATATAGTCACCTTAGAAAACTATAAATAAGGGATTCACCACTTATTCCATTCAGTTTATTTTCTAGCCTCTCTCTCTCTCT